TATATTGTTTATTTGTTTTTAATGATTTTTTACTATTTATAAAACTAAAAAAGAGTAATTGTAATAAAACAAATCATAGAATACTACAAAAAAATAAATGAATATAAAAATTCATTTCACTTTCATATCCCTACAGACTACACTCAACCCAAAGAATAAGATGATAATAGAATAATATTGGACACTTGATACATACAAAAGCTGTAAATGCATGACACCAAAATCTTTGGAAGATAACACAGGACGATTTACTCACATCATTCTCTGATTTCTCTCAAAGTCTCAATACCCTTTTCATCAATCCATTTTAGTGGCAAAATATATAAAAAAAGAAGATTAATAGACATGAATTAAATGCGAAATCTAAGATTACAAATGAAAATATATACTCAAGTAGTCAGGGTATTTTCGTAATTAAAATGAAAAACTAAGGGTTATACAATTGCCCATTACATCTACATTTCCAACCGAGTGGCTTGTAATTCGAGTACCTGTTCCCCGATGAGGACGCCGGAGGTTGATCGTAGTAGTCCACCGGTTTAACTCCGTTGTGACCGGGCATCGTCGGCACCTGCACCGCCATGCATGGGTGGCAGAGGTTGCACTTGTTGTGACAGCTCGGCGGCGTTGAACCCAGTCTGGTTTTCTCTTCATATAATAAAACCTGAGAAAAGTAAACAATTTAGAACCCCAGATGATCTCGATGCATAATTGACGACTCAGGGAAGAGTAATTACTCGGATGGGGGTGGTTTTTGAAAGATTCATATGAACACGAGAGGAATTAGAGGTCAAAGAGAGAAGATGGAGAGTGATTAAGATAGAGATTATGATTGATTGAAGTGAATTCATGGCCATGGAAGCATTTTAAACTATATCGGACCACCACCGGCGCCGCCGTCGCTAGTGAACCAAATTTGGGTATTGAATCACACCCCACAATCAAACACGGGGATTTCTTTCTTTTTTCTTGCTTTCTCTCTCTATCTTTCTGCCCAACGTTTTGTATCTGTATGTACGAGTGAGAGAAGGTGAAAAGAACAAGACAGGAAGCGGAAAGGGGAAGAAGTTAGAAGAAATGGAAGATTTATGGCCCCACTCTCACTACGCTTCTTTTCTTTCCACATACATGACCTATTCCCCACTACTTTTACCGTTTTCCATCTTTGCTTTTTACTCTTTGAAATTTAGGCCGAATCTTGTATTCATGTATTTATGTATTAAAAAATTAGGGTATTCAAGTATATTATAAACTTAGTCTACGGTGTAGTTTTTGTTAGGCCGTTCGGAGTACCGAGTACGAATACATCTGCTGCCCACAACGAAGGTGAACATCATCCCGGTGTCCAGTTCTCCTTCGTCGTGGTTGGTTGTTGTGGGGAAAACGATGGATCATTACCAATATACGTGAGGAGCTAGTTTTAATATTGAGTAGCCGTTAAACGGAAAATATATATATATATATATATATATATATATATATATATATATATATATATATATTAATTTTAACTTATTAATACAACTTCATACAATAATATTTTCAAACTAATCTTCTATTTTATACTATTTAAAATATCAAATAGATACATTTTTTTTTACAAATTTTGGTTCAGATAATAATGAGCAGATTATCACAATATTTTTTTAATGTTGTACAAAACATAGGTGATGAAAAGCTTAGAAATTTTACGCATGTAAGAACGATTGTCAACCGAGATCATCAAACCGCACACGAACTTTTGATACGAGATTATTTTGTTGATAATTGTCTTTATAATGATGATGCTTTCAAACATCGTTTCCGTCTTGATAATGCATTGTTTTTATGTATTAGTAATGTTCTAGCGTTGTGATATGAATATTTTAAACAAAAACCAGATGCTAGACGTAGAATGAGTTTTAGTGCTATACAAAAATGCGATTACACTTAGATATGTGGGATACGATATAAGCTTTGATGCAGTAGACAATTACTTAAAAATATCTGAGAGGATCGCAAATGGGTTTGTATATCATTTTTACACATGTGTTATGAGATTATTCACAAAGAATATTTGTGCAAGCCTATTAAATGTGATATTGAGAGATTGTATTTGGCACATGAAGAGATATATGGATTTCCATGAGTGATCGGTAGCCTTACGTATATGCATTGGGTGTGGAAGAACTATCCAAATGTGTGACGTAGTCAATTTACCAAAGGTGATATAAGTTAGTCGACTATAATATAGGTCATCCGTTCTTTTGAGTTGAAGGGTCCAAAAATAACCACATTGTTCTTAGTCAATTCCCCATTTTCAACGATATATGAATCAAAACACCTGATATGTCTTTCATGGCGAGCATGTATTCATACAAACACAGTTACTACCTTTATGACGGGATATACCCATATTGCTTCACCTTTAGAAAGGATATAGAGAGGGAATTTAGATTCCTCAAGCTAACGTATCATGTAGTGAATTACGTTGCACAACTTCGGGATATAGAAAAGTTAAAACGAATAATTCATGTATGTGTTATAATGCACAATAATGATTATTGAACATGAATGTGAAAAGATTTGCACGTACGATGAGAACGACATAGGTAACAAACTTCAAGAGTTAATAGCCGATTCGACTGAATATTTAGCAAGAATAATTGAAATTCAAACACTTAATGGTGTTTCAATCATAGAGAAGATCTACTGAAGCATCTGTATCAAAAAATATGAACGAAGAATAGTAATATCCTTGAATTATGTTTTTATGTACCTTTTATTATACCTAATTTTAGAATTATTTTTAAATTTTTGGCATTCTTTCTATATATATATATATATATATATATATATATATATATATATATATATATATATATATATATATATATATATATATATATATATATTTGCTTGGTCTTTTTTAAAATTGTAATGTTTTTTTATTTTAATTAAATATCTAGCATTTTCATTATGTTTTTAATTTAATTTTAAATAAATAAAATTATGTGTATTGGTGGGTATACTAACCTTTAGTGGTTGTTGATGGTGATTAGGTGGCACTTATGTGACACTCATCATATTTGCTGCTAGTGGTGGGCACTCCTGATGTCGTTAGGCTAAATGATATGGGACATTTTTCATGCGTGGAAACTATGCAGATGATGATTTGGCATATATTTCACTAGTTAACATCATTTCCAACTAGTTATGGTGTAGAGTGAAGTGGAGCAGTCCATAAGGCTTCATAAAAGAGAGATACTCTTTCTCTTGCTTCTTTCCTTACTCTTTTTTCTCTTTTTTTTCTTGGCATTTCATTACTGGCTATTTCAAGAGCTCTGTGAAAATGGTTTGATGATGAGGTGGCTACCATTCACTTGTAACGATACACCTTAAAAACTAAAATTACGATTGTCTCTTCATGACATCTACATATGCCCCTCACATCATTTTTTTCATTCCTTAGTGTTATAATGTATTTATGCATATTTTAGGAAATTAATTACATTTATTTACATTAGTTTTATGCTTTAAATATCATATATGTCTATCTCTTATATGGTTCAAGTGATGGGTTTTGTATCCGACTAGGGTGTTTAAAGTCTTAACTAAATTTAGTATATTGAGTGAATAATAGTAAAGTTATTTTTGGGTTGGCCTCACAACGAGGAAATAGTTTGTGTTGATAATGATATATATATATATATATATATATATATATATATATTATATATATATATATATATATATATATATATATATATATATATATATATATATATAGTTGCTTGGTCTTTTTTAAAATTGTAATGTTTTTTTTATTTTAATTAAATATCTAGCATTTTCATTATGTTTTTAATTTAATTTTAAATAAATAAAATTATGTGTATTGGTGGGTATACTAACCTTTAGTGGTTGTTGATGGTGATTAGGTGGCACTTATGTGACACTCATCATATTTGCTGCTAGTGGTGGGCACTCCTGATGTCGTTAGGCTAAATGATATGGGACATTTTTCATGCGTGGAAACTATGCAGATGATGATTTGGCATATATTTCACTAGTTAACATCATTTCCAACTAGTTATGGTGTAGAGTGAAGTGGAGCAGTCCATAAGGCTTCATAAAAGAGAGATACTCTTTCTCTTGCTTCTTTCCTTACTCTTTTTCTCTTTTTTTTCTTGGCATTTCATTACTGGCTATTTCAAGAGCTCTGTGAAAATGGTTTGATGATGAGGTGGCTATCATTCACTTGTAACGATACACCTTAAAAACTAAAATTACGATTGTCTCTTCATGACATCTACATATGCCCCTCACATCATTTTTTTCATTCCTTAGTGTTATAATGTATTTATGCATATTTTAGGAAATTAATTACATTTATTTACATTAGTTTTATGCTTTAAATATCATATATGTCTATCTCTTATATGGTTCAAGTGATGGGTTTTGTATCCGACTAGGGTGTCTAAAGTCTTAACTAAATTTAGTATATTGAGTGAATAATAGTAAAGTTATTTTTGGGTTGGCCTCACAACGAGGAAATAGTTTGTGTTGATAATGATATATATATATATATATATATATATATATATATATATATATATATATATATATATATATATATATATAGGATTAATATATTAGTTAGAAACATAAATACTTAATTAAGAATTAATCAGAGTTAATTTAGAGTGAAATTGTTCAAAAGTTGAACAATGAAGCATTCTCGAACCTCCCTAAGAGGGTACGGTTCTTGAGTCCGTTTCTATGGCTTCTGGAAGCCTCATTTGTTTATAAGGAAACTGAATGTTAATTGTAATATAATATTATTATCTTGTATTCTAACTAGGATTTCCTGAAACTATAAATAGGGACATCCATAAGACTCAAGAACCCTATACAAACACAAGGATTTTCGAAATTCCTATCCCCCTCTCTATTTTCGATCCTAATTTTCACTAGGGTTTGGGTGTGATTCATTAGAGACTTCCACATTGTTAGGGCTTGTATTCCAAGAAGGACCCTTCAAAGTACATTGTTATTTTCGATAGTAACAATAAGGTATGTAATCAAACCTTTGTGATTTTTAATTTTGCTAGGTTATTTAGTTTTTTAAAGCATGATACTATTATGAGAAAAGCCACAGAATTTCTAGGTTGCATGTGCCCATAATTTATTATGTGAAATTATGCAAGTACACAGAAGTAATCTAGAAAACTAATCAGTTTCTAGGTTACAAAACAAATAAAATACGCAACAGGATCATAAAACTACTTTACAATCACATGTAACCTAGAGATTTATGGCTTTTCTAATAATAACAACATGTTTTGAAAACTATAAAGTAACTAGGTGTAATAAAAAATGATATGGATTGGAATACATACTATTGTGTAATAATGATATATAACACTTTTGGATCCTCATGTATTCTTTAGAAATCAAGCACTAATAATGTGGATACCTCCAATGGCTTACACGAAAAGGAGAGAGGAAGAAGGATGGAATTTTTAGATTTCTCTTCTTCATATGTTTGAGCCGAAAATGCCAAGGTTTAGGGTCCTCACTCACCTAATATTATTTGTATGTATTTCTAGTTCTTAAGGGCGACCTAAAAAGGAATTTGATTCTATTCCATAAGGTTTTACCAACGTAGTTATGATCTTAGACACTTAATCTAACAGTAGCCCATTTGGATATGTCATCAACTACAACTAAAAGTACAACCCTTGAATACATAACAAAGTTTGTTTTCCAAAGTTATTGCCAAACTCTGAATCATATCAGACATTGACACTAAAATAAGAGATCAAGTATTCCTTCCATGTAACACCATAAATTTCAAAACAATTTTTCGCATTTTATA